AAGTGTCATTACTCGGTGTGTTTATGGATCATTACAACTGAAACGCAACGATAGAATTCCTTATCACCAGTTTTATATTAAGTCGTGGTAGCACTCCGGTGATACGTGCTGAATGATGGCTTTCTCGCGTGTAGAAGTTAATTTTTCTTTTGTACAAACGCTCGACACCATCTGTAATGAAATTGACAGAGGTACGAGATTGTGCGGACAGAGTACACAATAAACGAGACACAGTACATTTTATTATAAAAACGTGACTTATCAGCGTTAACGCAAAACCAGCTAAAGCGTAAACACATGTAATAAATAATTCTTAGTTATTATATACCAGGCATGTTGTGTTAAAATACGCTACGTAACATACTTTATTTAGTAATTTATTTCTGTTTATTTGACAGTTGTTTCAGAACGTAACTTGCGTTCATAGAAAAAATATGTGGATTAGTACTTTTTCATTGGAGTATTAATCACTTTTTGTAGACATGGTGACATAAAGGTTTCTATTTACGTTGTCTATATAGAATGTATATTAAGTATTCTTAAATTAATATAAAAAGCATCTTGTCTACAGTTCTGAATAGTTTTATTTATTGGTATTTGCAAAAAAATAAAAACAAAATGATGAAATTCAAGTGCATATTTCAAGTAATAATCAAATGAAGTATGTTTCAAACTAGATTCGTCCCTATATTAATTCCTGCGTATTGTGTATATTCCACGTAGATATTATTTGCCTGATACAAAGTGACCCATGAAGGACTGCAACCCAGGAGGTGTTCATGGGCGCCGGTAGTAGTACATTTAATTTGCAATCGATTACTCGATAAAATCGATACTCTTAAATTAAATCGATTTTAATCGATTGACTGCACGGATGGCGTAGTGGTTAAGCGGTCGCCACGCTGCTTCCTACTACGCCAAGTGTTGTGGGTTCATACCCCACATGGGACGACACTTTGTGTGATCCACAAATTGTTTTTCTGAGTCTGTGTGTACTTTGTGTCCGTTTCATGTATGTTTGTAAAGTCCCCCGCGACACAGGATACATTCCTAATGCGGGAGTTGTCTTTTATAAAAAAAAGGAAAAAAAAAATCAACATTTATTACCTTATGATATTGCCAAATATAAAATTATAAAATGAACAGAGGCAGATAAAACGATATGTAATATTTCCTGTTGTTAGCGCTGATGACATAATATTTGTATGTAATATGGTTGAGGAAGTTAGCCAGAATATGTTCTGAAGATAAGTAAGGTAGGTTTGAAATCTACAGAGGATAATATAAGTTTAGTATAGATTCTGCCTGCGGCTTCGATCATCGTATGTAAGAAATGACAAGATATAAAAAAACCACACGACTGAAGTAAAACTTCTTAGCTAAGAGAGAAAGAAAATGTGTGCTCGCACCTCTCTCTCTCTTGTCACTTTTCGTAACGCTCGTCACGCATTCACTAGCTTACTCCCCAAAGTCAAGCGTACGTTAAGAAGTTTTACTTCAAAAACAAGTTCTACGAAAGTTTAAGCTAAACCTCTTGACCTAGTCTATGAAGTTAAAGGACTTGTTAAAAGTTGGTTTGTTCTCTTATTCACCATTGCCAAATAACGTAAACGTGTTTGGACTTGTGCCAAAAAATATGCTATAGATTCTTATACGTTTAATATAGTTCGCTCTATTTATTTTAAAAGCAGTTTTCTTTACGTTGATTTAGAGTTTGTGTTATATGGTTAGTAATTTCCTGGATTGTATTCGTTGTTCTTGTCATCATCATCATCATCACCACCATAATCATTTTTTATCCACTTGACGTTGTCACATTGTGTAGCATTGCAAAAAAAATTGAATGGTATCTTTTACTGTAACGATCGACTGCCAGCGCCTACGAGAAATTGGAAAAATTAATAAAAGTTACCTACTTACAAATCATGACTGCACGGATGGCGTAGTGGATCGGACGGTCGCCATGCTGCCTTCTACTACGACGAGTGTTGTGGGTTCAAACCCCACATGGGACGACACTTTGTGTGATCCACAAATTGTTGTTCTGAGTCTGGGTGTTCTTTGTGTCCATTTCGTGTATGTTTGTAAAGTCCCCACAGTTGTAAAGTCCAAGACACAGGAAATATTCCTAATGCGGGAGTTGTCTTTAAAAAAATAAATAAATAATAATGTTTGTAATTTTTAGTAATATTCGTTCTATAATAAATAATTAATTAGGTTATGTGATAAGCATATGTAGAAGTTCATTGTAGGCGTGACAACTATCACTGGCGTGATAAATAAATTCGTACATTAATTTGCATGTGTGCTAATATATGAAAATATAATTACTTACGTCATAGAACGTGAGCAGCCTTATATGTACACATATGTGTCCCTTGATAATATAAGTCTTAAATTATATTCTGATTTAATTATTCTGACATCATAATGCTAATTTTAACAAGTTAACTCTACCGAGAGTTCGTAGTGTTTTAACTCCATTTGAAAAAAATAATAAAATGGTTGATATGTAAAAACTTAATACGTGAGAAATTCCCTTCGGCCGCCATCGAAACCGATGGTTCGTAAACAGGAGAGGAGGAGGAAAAACAGATCTTTGTACGAAACCAGTTTCGAACCAGGATTGTTTTTTCGTCTTACGAAACCACGGTTACGTACAAGGATTTTTTTTTTCTAAATAGGTAACCACTTTCGCGGGACAAACATAAAAGACTAATATTATTAGACATTTGACACATGAAGAACTGTGACTGGTCACTATTTCATGAACCATGAGTTTGTGAAGCCAGGTCCAGTAATAAGTAAGTAATAAGTAGATATACGTCTTCGAAGCTAGTATGTGTCGTAAAAAGAACAAATAATCCTGGTTCGAAACATAGTGTGGATGAATATGCTAATAACAATACATAATATTAAAGATGATTGACAAACCTTGAAGAGATAGGTATATTGATGTAAAATATGAAATATAATAAATAACTATGTTTATAAATAACACATACAAATATACAAATATGAGGAAAAAAATAAAATTACATAAATACATTAGAAACTTTCTATTATCTAAAAACCTATAAAACCAACTATTCAGTGTAATAATGTTGAGATTTTATATAGCCCATGATGACAGTAATTTAAGCGAAACTCGTTTTTTTTTAATTGTCCTTGGAACCGATGAATATGTACTAAAGCGTACATTGTAAGAGTCAAGTAAACGTGAAATTATACTATTTCTACTGTAATTAGTCGAGTGAAATGAAGTGCAAAATAATGTAGTGTCTCTAGTGCGTTATTTGGGTACATTTTACTTAATATTATTTAAAAGCTTAGGACAATCGATCCGTCCTCGTAAAATGTCAATATAGTAACCCCATATCCATCAGTATACGCCTCTCCTCAAGAGGTAGGAGATTGTAAATACGACAATTCTCTTTGTAATCATGTAAGCAGTTATGAAATTTAAAATTAAGGTGATCGATAAAATTTATCTGGATGCGCTCAAGACTGCCTTTGTGTATCGCATAACTTGGAGACCATATCTGACAACCGTATACCAGTAAACTACTAACGAAAGCAATATAAACGACATTTAAGCTCATCAAACTCAAGATTGCGACTGGTTTTGTCTCAAGATTGAGACAAAACCAAGATTGCGAAATGATCTGCTGCATGTCGCATCAATGTGCTGTCGCATGGACATCTCCAACTCAAATAGTGTACCCAGGTTTCGTCTTATACCCTACATCATTATTTAGCCAATTCTGAACACATGCAGTATACCCTGTAACCGTGATGGTCAGCTTATCACATCAACGCATCAACAGCCTTTAATAGTCCACTGCTGCACATATGCCTCTCCTTAGGCTTATAAATATCTACAATTTAACGTTATAGCTGACACAGGAAGAAAGCAATAACACAGCAATAGATTGAATAATAATTGCTGCACTTCCTGCAGGAACATAGACATTAAAAATGGAAAGCATTCTAGAAGTTGTACTGAAACTGACGAGGAATTAGGTGGATTAACATTCCTTATTAAACTTAACTCATTTCAATAGCATAAGGCTCGTTCCTCAATAAGAATAAATATACCTTGTAGCATCCCTTTTATTATCCGTCTGTCTATCTGTCACTTAAGACTATTCTGACGTACGCTACCAACGATCTCCGAGACCCTGCATTTGCTCACATTGAGTTAAAACTACTATAATTTAGTTTTGTTTTATATGACAGTCAGTTAACATGATTTCCGTTTCTTCAGTGCGATTTTATTTACAATAGTATATATATATTCTTTGTAACGGGTGTGATATTTATTAATAGCTCTTGCTCAGAGCGGAACATAGTGTTCGTCGCTATACCAAAGAATGAAAAAAATCTTGACAAATTAACGTGTGAGCTCGTAATGGTAGAACATTCCTTGCTATACTTGCATTGTGTTTGTTTATTCTTGGCCCCCTGCACAAAATTAATTTGAAATATTCTTTTATTTATCTGTAATCTTAATTAATAGTGTCCATGTCATATTTCAATCGATTTTGATTTCTAATGTGTATTAATACATTCATTAGAAATCAATGGAAATGGGTAGTGACGACCGGATGGCGTAGTGGTTTGTGTAACAGACTGCTATTCCAAAGGTCGCGGGTTCGATTCCCGCTCAAGTCAAACATTTGTGTGCATGAACTTTTAATGTTTGATTTGGTCTGGGTGTTTCTATGTATAATATGTATGTATTTACAAAAAAAGTATATATGTATTTATATCGGTTGTCTAGTACCCATGGTACAAGCTCTGCTTAGTTTGGGACTAGATGGCGTTGTGTGAATGTGGTAGAATATTATTATTATTACTGTAGAGCTAGTTTACAAACGATATTGGACGTCTGTTACTCATTTACTAGTGATATGATGTTGAACGCATCATTATCATAATGATCAATAAAATGCTAACTTAATACGATGAAGTACAGCATATTTTTTATTTGTTTACAGTTTCTTCAAAACCTGGGCAAGGTAGATCGCACACTCGACGATATATTCGAGGAACACCTCCAGAACTTCAACAGGCAACACCAGCAAGCGACTCGACTGCAGAAGGAATTCAATAATTACATAAGATGTATACGAGGTAAGTAAATGAACACGTTTTAATTTTTAGAATAGGCCTTTCTCTCTCCTGAATGGTCTGATGTGTCAATAGAGTTGAGATTACTCAACTCTATTGAAAACCGCAGCTATTCAGCTATTACTAATAAGTCTAAGAACATAACATCTCACTTAGAGCATCTTAAGCTCAAGATCCTGTAAGCTCCTTATCATATAAACATTATATATTAATTGTAAAGCTTGTTAAATTTGACTCTATGAAATGAAATGAAATCGTTTATTCTGCAAATACAAGTCAAACTTTTTTGGAGCAGATGAGTTCAGCCTTTTCTAACTGGACTAGCCCTAAGAAGGAAAGACGAAACAAACTCAGGGATTATCGTCAGTCCAGAGTCTGGTTATATTGTTAAGAGTAATATTTATTTTTAACTATGATGATATGTTATCTTCCAGCGGTTCAAACGGCCTCCAAAACTTTGATGGAAGCAATAACCGAGGTGTACGAAAGCGGATGGTCAGGCCACGATCTTCTATACGTGCAAGCTCAGAACCTGGAGATGTTGTGGCAGGACTTCTCGCACAAGCTCGGCGACCAAGTGCTCATACCTCTTAATACGTACACCAACCAGTTCCCTGAATTCAGGGTAAGTCGAAATATACTATGAAAATAATAATATCTTTTTTTTTTACTAACTCTGTTCCATGGCAATCTGTTGCACACAACAATAAGCCACTGTTTTGGCTGATAATTTATGTGGTTAAGGCTTATAGCTTGGGGAGACACTTCTCATATGAGTGTCTCATTCCATCCAGACGAATCTATCCTGAAGAATTGCTACACTATGTCTCTTTAGTCTTCGATATTGGAGACCTTGGTCTCCACTCAGTCTGGCATCAAGCTCATTGTTCTGTTTTGAGACCATTTTCTGGTAGGCGTCACTATATTTTGCTATCTCCTGTTTGACAGTTGGTAGTTTTATATCAAGGTATATGATCTTGTTACTGATGTATTGGGGGATGTCAAAGATAGCCCTCAGTGTTTTTGCTTGAAATCTTTAAAATATCTCTATGTTACTGTTGCTGGCTGTACCCCAGAGTTGTATGCCATAAATCCATATTGGTTTCAAACACCATCATAACTTTATTTCCAGAAAAATGTTTACAAGAACGTTGTTTACATGCACAGACTAGGAAATTGTAGGACAAAAGAACTAGGAACAGCATCCAACGCCAAACTAGGTAAAACTTGTGTTTCAGCAGACTAACACAAGATATCGAGATCGAAATAATTTTCTCACTTTATTAGCTTTTGCCAAGCGTCATCCAATAACTTTCTGATAACTTTTATTCTGAATGAATACTATGATATGAATACTTTAATAAGAACATTTAAAGATCTTTAGTTATAAAATGTATAGCAATGTCGTGTGTATGGTCAGGAAGCGCCGTTTCAAAATTACTTGAAAACGAATCGAAGTGGTATAAAAACTGGCAGAGAAGATAGAACAGTTTGTTGGAAGTTTTCCAATAAAATGTTGAGTGATTTTATTATCGCACTTAATATTTTAGAAAATAATATAATTACTCTGGGCTGATCCAGAGACATATTTATAATTAACCATCTGTTTTTATTATCGTTTTGTATACTTGTCCGTGTGGTGACGGATTTAAATTACGGAGTATCACCACCCCTATTTATCCTGTAGGTGTCGTATGACCCTACTAAGGGAGCAAACTATGCAGGACAACAGCACTGGAAAAAGAAGAAAATCTTGACACAAACCCTTTTTTTTTTTTTTTTTTTAACGTGTGGAAATCCCCTCGGACCGTCACCCCTCCGGGGTTTGCGGCGGGGTGGTGTGTCGGACTCGGACCGACTAAAACCACACGGTGTGCCACTCTGCGCCTGTAACAGGAGGGATCCGGGAACAGCTGTTGTTAAGACATCCGGACCCCTCCTAGCGCCAGCCCGCTTCTGGTGCGGGCTCCGTCTCAATGTTTTTCCTCTCTTTAGGCGACGTCCGGCACACGCGGACGCCGCCCCCTCGCGGCTGGCCTAACTAATGCGGGTGGAGGGGAAACCCACCCCGTCCACCCGCGGCCACACTCAGGGCGGCATGAGGCTGTGATAGGCGGGCCTCCGCCGCCCGGTTCGCCGGCGGCGGATTGGGTCCGAGTGGAGGTCGTCCTCCCGGGCCCTCTCCGCCGCCTCCTTCCGCGAGATTACTACCTCGCAGAAGGTTGCGACCGCGGTAAAACAACTGTCGCTACCGGCCATGGAGCGTACTACGGCCGATAGCGAGAGATCCACTCCGATGACTGCAGTGAGGGCCCGGCGCTGCGCCGCCCATGCGGGGCAGACCGCCAGCGTGTGCTGGGCCGAGTCCTCACTGCAGTCGCAGTGGTGGCAGGCGGGACTCAGTTCCCTCCTAGCGACCGTGTGCAGGTACTTTCCGAAGCAACCGTGCCCGGAAAGAATAGAATAGAATAGAATAGAATAGAATAATCTTTATTGTACACCAATTCAGGATATTATACATACAATAGTATTCAAGGTTAATGACCATGTACAAATGGCGGCCTTATCGCTAAAAAGCAATATCTTACAGGCAACCTTTGGATGGACAAATAGACTGTAAATAGGTAATTTCATGGGCAGATTTGGTGAGAAAAAGTGTAAAGGAAACTAAAAACAAAAAGAATAATATTTATACAGCACAACAGCATTCCTTTGACAATTACAAAACAAAGTAGTGTCAATTGTATACAGCAGTCAGTCCCAGCAATACCTACTTATATAAATACAAGTAAATACTAACTATAAGGATTATATAATACATAAACAAATACATAAACTCTACCATTCATTTGCAGAGGAATACAGCAGATAGGATATGTTATGTAAATAATAAATTAAAATGACAGGTAGTGTTCTTTGACCATTTTTTTAAAGGTAGATAAAGTTTTTGCACGTTTTATAGGCATTGGCAAAGCATTCCATAGTCGGACAGCCTGTACAGTAAACGACTTATCGTAAAACGTGGTACAGTGAGATGGTACTGCCAGTTCCAGAGATTCAGATGACCTCAGGGTCCTCGAATGTGTGTCACCAAGGAAAACAAATCGTTCCTTTAAATAAGTTGGAGTAAACGGATGAAATATAATCCTATAAAGAAGGGAAAGAATATGAGCATTCCGTCGAAGGCGAATTGGGAGCCACTTAAGCTGATTGCGATATTCAGATACATGATCATATTTGCGCAATCCAAATATAAATCTTATACAAAAGTTTTGAAGGCGCTCAAGTTTATCTAGTTGCTCCTCCGTGATATCGAGATAACTCGGAAAGAATATCGGAAAGCACCTGCGTCAGCCGGAAGGAAAGGGTCCCGTGCTGCCGCCCTGCCCACTCGGCGATGACCGGCTGGAGAGCCTCCACGGCGGCAAAGCCAGCGCGTGGAGTCTCCAGCCGGAACGACCAACGAGCCATCGTGGCTCGGCGAGCGGCTTCGCGCCACTCGCGCACATCCTCGGGCGGAGGGCGAAATCCGCTCTCCGCCCGGGAGTCAGCCACTCGCCGATAAACTTCGGCGAGCACTTCCGCCTCCAAATCCCACGGGGGAGTTCCGGCCAACGCGCATGCCACCTCCGTAGAAACGGTGCGGTCACCGCGTATGGCTCTGACCGCCATTACCCTCTGAGGGCGCCAGAGGCGTACCCTATTCTGGGCGGTCAGAGCCGCTGCCCACACCGGTGCACCGTACAGCGCCATTGACCGGACAACCCCCGTGTACAGCCGTCTTGTCGCGACGCTGGGTCCACCCATATTGGGCAAGAGTCGCCCTAGGGCAGACGCAGCGCCGACCAGCTTTGGAGCAAGCTGTCGGAAGTGCTCGTCGAAGAGCCACCTCCCGTCGAGGATCAGGCCCAGATATTTCATCTGGGCCCGAACCAGTACGAGGACCGAGTTGACCACGATTGAGGCGCCAGGGGGTGGACCACGACGGGGCCCATGAAATAACAGGGCCTCCGTCTTATCTAGGGCCACCCGTAAACCCAGCGCCTCAATGCGCCCGACCACCAGGGAGACTCCCCCTGTGGCCAGGCGCGCCGCCTCTTGGAAGTTTGCCCCCCGGGCTGTCACCAGGGTATCGTCTGCGTAACAGATTACACCCAGCCCGGGGGGGAAATCGGCGCGAAGGGCCCAGTCGTACCCTATGTTCCACAAGAGGGGTCCAAGAACAGACCCCTGTGGAACACCGCACGACATGGGCCGACACCTCAGATTACCTTCTCGGTCCTCGTACACGACGGTACGCTCCTCTAAATAGTCTGCCACTAGCCGCTTCAGGTACTTTGGCACCCCATGATAGTGGAGTACTTCCCTGATGCAGCTGAATGGCAGACTATTGAATGCGTTGGCGATGTCCAGTGACACCGCCAACAGCACGCCGCCACAGCTCACGGCCTCTTCGGTCACGGCCCTCAGGCGCAACACGGCGTCGACTGTCGAACGCCCCGCCCGAAAACCAAATTGGGCGTCCGACAGATCGGGGCCCACCTCGCAGAGGTGCCGGACGATGCGGGCAGAAAGAACCCTCTCAAACAATTTGCCCGCCTCGTCCAGCAGCACGATGGGCCTATAGGCCGCGACCGAATCGGCAGGCCGTCCCGGCTTCCTCAATAGGACCAGCTTCCCGCTCTTCCAGCACTCAGGGAAGCGTCCCGACGCCAAGCTAGCGTCGAACACCTCCCCGAGGCGGTCTGCCATGTGGTTAAGGGCCAGGGCCAGCACTCGGGCCGGTACCCCGTCTGGCCCAGGGGCGGTGTTCTTGGAACGGATCCGTAGAACAGCCGCCCCTACCTCCGAATCCCGGACGGGCGGAACATTGTCCTCCCCGTGCTCCCCGTCGTCTCCGGCCAGGGAGGCCATCGACGGGGGAGTGTGTTCCGCTCGTTAAACCCTATTCCAACCTGTCTGGCCATCCATTCTGGTATATTAAGCCAAAACTTATTTTGTAAGGAGAGGCTGTTGAGGCTGGCAAGGGTAGTCGCTTTCCATCAGGTGACCCGTCTGCTCGTTTGCCCCCTATTCTATAAAAAAAAAATTATACTCGTACATGTCGTAGCTAGATCATAAAATCGACCACTTCATGATATCCATCAAAAGGTCGACCATATCATGAAGTGAGTGATTCTATATTTTGGCAACGATATACGTATTTCTTTAATAAAGTTTCTAACGCAAAAAAAACTGCATTTTGCATCGTCATCAGGCCCTTCGGTCATAATATTGGAAATATATTATTAATCTATACTAATATTATAAAGCTGAAGAGTTTGTTTGTTTGTTTGTTTGAACGCGCTAATCTCAGGAACTACTGGTCCGATTTGAAAAATTCTTTCAGTGTTAGATAGCCCATTTATCGAGGAAGGCTATAGGCTATATATCATCACGCTAAGACCAATAGGAGCGGAGCACCAATGAAGAATGTTTCAAAAACGGAGAAAATTTATGACTATTGAGAGACGCAGACGAAGTTGCGCGGGTCAGCTAGTAGTTAATATTGTTGATTTATCATTTAATTTAGCTATCTCTATACAACAGTATTTTTTTATTGATCACGTATGCAAAGTTTTATGATTATTTGTTAAGTAGTTAAGGTGTGCGATTGTAAGAAACTGACTTACAACAGTATTTATAATATTAGTTATGATTCAAGTGTATTCTAGTGACGTTTAAAAGTTTATTTTTCGTCTCGTCATCTGCTAGCTTCGCCAGATGTGGATGCTGTGTTAAATATGGAACTGACCTTGACGCCAAATGTTCGGCTTTCTTTCATACGCCACGATATTTCTTTTTCAATTAAGAAGGCGTTTACGTAAATTATAATACTTAACTAATAAGTAAGTACTTTAATAAGTATTTCGGACATCTGACACACAACGCCATGTAGTTTCAAACTAAGCAGAGCTTGTACCGCTAGATTGACTGATAGAATACTTACTTACTTTTTTTTAAACATACATATTATACATAGAAAACACCCAAACTACGAAACAAATATTTGCAAATCTTATAAACATTTGGTCCGACCCGGGAATCGAACTCGACACCTCAGCACAACAGTCGCATACGCTTCCACTGCACCACCGAGGCAGTCAAATTTAATGTATTGTAATATAAACGAATATATTTGGAAATATACAAGTATGTTTATTTAGGAATATATGTTTCCGGTTGATGGCAATAGGCTTGCCACCTAATACGTAAGTAGGACAACAATGTTTACGGCAAAATATTTCTCCAAACGTTTTTCCCAAACTAGTTGGGGTCGGCTGTTAGTCTTAATATGTTACGGCTCGACTTCGATTTTTACGTGTGTGCTATTCTCTAAGGAAACAGCCTTGCATACTGCCACAGCATCGAACTTCAAACTAAGTTCGTTTGAAACTCGACTCTGTGAACAGGACCGTAGAGCTGTACGCAAGGCTGTTTACTTAGAGAATAGCACTGCAGAGATCCACAACCCAAGTACTAGACGGTAACGGTTGCCACAAATGTTCGTATGGCATCCGGGACCGACGGCTTGTGCTGCTCTCCAAGGCACGGAGGGGTCTCAATGCGTTAAGAATGGTCACCCCTCTATAGACTGACCTGTGTCCCCCTAATAAAATATATTTGTCAAAAATTTGGGCACCAATATGCACCTTTAAGCCTATAAAATTGGCTTAAGCATTATAAATATTAAAGTGAGTTTGTCTGTTATGATTTTAACACTTCTCAACCGAATGATATGAATATTGCAAATTGGGTGTAAAGGGTAAAAAAAACACGGGTCAGCTCTTTTTACTCAGCGAAAAAAAAAACAATTTTAACCTGAGCGAGATCCGTTAAACATTATCTATGAAGTTGTTGTATTAAATTAAATCAGTTTTTATACATTTTGCTATTGCATTGCATTGAATCTTATCTTTAGTTTACAAACTATAAAACAATATTTGGTTATCATGATAATACTTAATAGTAATTAGCGAATCAAAATAAAAGTAAATAAAGTTATACCTTATTTGCAAGCATTTGTATTTCAATGTAAAAACAATTGAACGTTTAAACGAAGGTGACGGAAATTAAATAAAATATTGCTTCTAGTACCGAAAAGCAATGCAAATATCGTCATAAATGTGGCGTGTTTTGCTAATAAAAGGACATCAATTGTCCGTGTAGTGACGGATTAAGAATACGGAATGTCACTACCCCAACTCATCCCGTGGGTGTCGTAAGAGCCGACTAAGGCCCTATGTCCAGCAGTGGACAATTAAAGGCTGTTGATGATGATGATAATGATGAATTAATAAAACTAAGTAGTGATTTTTACACCAAGAGAAAATCTCGAAAATCATAATAAATTATAATTTAAAACTACACACATATAACATTCGGTCAATTGTTCTAAAACGATTTTTAAAAATGGAGTCGTCTCTACACCTCTTCATACACTGAAAATAGAGTCTTACCATATTAATCACTTAATATTATGTTAAATGCTTAAAAATGTTCTCATTAGTATTCCTTACAAAGACACACGGCAAATAGTAAGCTTGTTTTAACTTGACTGCACAGATGGCGTAGTGGTTTAAGCGGTCGCCACGCCGCTTCCTACTGCGCCGAGTTTTGTGGGTTCAAACCCCACATGGGACGACACTTTGTGTGATCCACAAATTGTTGTTCTGAGTCTGGGTGTTCTTTGTGTCCGTTTCATGTATGTTTGTAAAGTCCCCCGCGACACAGGAATATATTCCTAATGCGGGAGTTGTCTTTAAAAAAAAAAAAAAGAAAAAAAAACTTATTCAAAGAAAATGTTTATATTAAAGTACATGTATGTAAAACATGAAATAATTAACTTACAGAAAAAGATAGAAAAACGCGGCCGTAAATTAGTGGACTACGATGGACAAAGGCACAGCTTCCAGAACCTGCAGTCGAACGCGGCGAAAAGAAGGGACGATGTTAAGGTAAATAAATATACTTACATTGTTTCTGTGCCCAAGTTTCTGTTGTAACTATTAATTTACAATAGACCATAGGGATAACTATAACACAGATATATGCACAGGGATAATTGGATTCTTAATTGTGTGTGTTAAGGAAATGTGGCGTCAGAAATTCGTGATTGCCTGAATTTCACACTGATAAATGAAACTAATGAATGAAATGTGCATATTTTTCAGAAAATTACAAAGTCAAAATAAAGAATACCTTTATTTGAATTTGTAAAATACAGAATATTCTTTTTTTGAATTTCGTTAAGAAAAAAACTTTTTCAAAACTACTTAGAGACAATTACAATTTCTCCACACATTTGGTTTGTTTGCCTATCTGTTGATGCACCAGGTACTACAACTCCACCACCGACTATCCCCCTCTAACAAAAACAGTTTTTCGAATGTGTAGTCGTTATAACGATATATGTTCTCAAATAGATATTTTTAATGATAGTATAAATGTATTCAAGTGCTTTTTACTTAAATCTGAAATGTATAAACCCATCAATGTAAAATTATAGTAACACATTTGTAGATATAACTAATTAGTCAATTTGCTGCATCTCATTTTCTTATTTAATAAAATTTTTTTGCGTTTGTTTAATACCTAATTGAAGCTCTATCACCGCGATTGTGAATGATGTGTATAGTTTTAATTGGACTTCAGATTTGAAATTATACGCTGTTACTTATTACTGTGTGAGGCATGATCTGTTGTCTGTAACTGTACCAAATAAGTAAAAATAAAAATAAAATAAAATAAACAAGATCAACTAATACCTATCTCTGTATTTCGATATCATTTAAATTTCATTAAGATTGTATTATTTTCCAGGTGACAAAAGGTAGGGAACAGCTGGAAGAAGCTAAACGAACGTATGAGATCCTAAATTCTGAGCTGCATGACGAGCTGCCGGCGCTGTACGACTCGCGAGTTTTGTTCTACGTCAACAACCTGCAGACCCTCTTCTCGGCTGAACAGCTGTTCCACTCGGAAAGTCACAAGGTCAGCTTCTAGGGTAGAGTAGTAATTGGTTCATGGGTAATGTAGATGGTTACAAAATCCATAAGTATTTAAGTCTGTTTCTTAACAGGTAAATTGTGTCATGGCAACACATTACTTGAAATATTAAAAAAATAAACAGACGAAAAAAGTTCAAAAATCCAATTTGTTTTCAAAACTAATTTTTAATTTTTCTTCTTGCTTTTTTAATTGTATACTTATTCTATTTTTTATATTTTACTAATGTGAAATATTGAAAAAAAGTGTGGTAATATTTTTGTTACCTCTCATTTCTATTTTAAACCTTATTTAAAAACGCGAGCGAAAATTGCGATCTATTACAAATTAAACAAAACATAAATAATATAGATACTCAGGAAATACACTTACCGGTGGCAATGTCGGACTCGAACCGACTAAAACCGCACGCCGTCTCAGGTACCAGTAGTCGGGGAACCAGGTACCCTAGAAAGGAAATCCCTGGTGCCTACTCAAGAAATACACTATAGCTAATTGTCAAAAAGTATAAAATAGACTTCAGAAACACGATTTTCCTTTGTACCTACACCAACAAAGTTACTTTGCGCCTAAAATGTTTTAATTAAATGAAACAAACTAGAAACGCTAGGCAAGCATTCATTACATTTAATTTATATATTATTATTTTCTGGTGGTTATTAACAAACTCGTTAGTATAAAAAATACTGTTCTAATGGATAAACTCAGTATCGCTTTTGTTCTACTTAATATTTTAAAAGTAAGTTTGTTACTCTTAATTGCTAAAAAAAATTGCATTAATTCCATTCAGAAAAAAATGCTATTTCCGAATGGTAAAAACTTAATATTGGGGTGAGCGAATAAAATTTTAGTGAATAATATTGGATATATAATGGGGAATGGGGGTCCGCAGTAGACCGTGTGGTAATGGATTGTCGCCACTCCTATTCATCCCGTGGGTGTTGTAAGATCCGACACTGCAAAGAGAATTAAAACTTGAGACAAACCCTAACCAACTCGTCTGGTCAGTGTGCTAAATATCTTAGGCCAAGACTTCTATTCTAAAAAGAGGCCTATATCCAACAATGGACCATTCAAATATGTTGATAATGATGAATGGTAAATGCTCAGTACGGTCAACGTGAATGATAAAAACATTTGCTTAAAATTCATAATTAGTTCATCAGTTATTTGACCAAAACGTGCGCGCGACCCGCAGGTGTTCGGCGAGCTGGAGGCGATCACGGACAAGCTGGCGACGGAGTGCCAGCGCGGCTCGTACAGCAAGAAGCTGCCCGCCAACAACGTGTCGCCCGCCGCCTCGCCCGGCGCCACGCTCAACAACAACATCAACGGGGGCTCCGCCCACCCGCCCTCCGACACGCTGCAGAGTGAGTACACACAGCTTACAGGTTCTTCTTGTAAAATATAGAAATAGGTGCTGTCTGTCAAAAAACTGTATTTTTAGTAAATAACACTTGTCCCACACATTTGGAATCTAGATTCCACGGTTAAGTAGTAACGTACCCTTTCTTTTTTACCTGAATTAGAAGTGAAAAATTAAAATAAAATCGTCTACGTTAGAATACAGTAGTTGCCCATTAAAACAAAACAGTTCCTCTTATGTTAATAGTGAAGACGGTATATTCGATTGATATTTGAAATAATGAGATAACTGATGACATCATGCCTAACTACTGCCAAATCGTTTACTTCCACTATTTGGTTCAACAAAAAGGAACTAGAAAAATTAAAAGCTGTAAAGAAAAAACTATTCTATAACATAGGAAACTATTATTTTATTATATATAACTGATCATAGAATAAATAATAAAATATAAAACTAAAGTTACAATTAATAAACAAGTTCTTTTAATAAAAAAAAGTGTTTTTATGCACAAATTTTATTGTCTGTGCCCAACAAAATGGACATTAACAAGACAGCTGTTTTTTGATAGTTTGCACTGATTGACAGTTTGTTAATATTGACAAAGTTGCTTAGTGCTACAATGTGGATGAAATTTCTATAATCATGAGATATCTACACAGACATCCACAAATATGAAAAGATAGAAATAAATAGACTGCGTCTTTTTTTGCGTACGGCATCGTTCGCATAAGTTATCGTTGTCATCTTTATAGGTTACTTGAGGAAATCAATTAGAGTACATCTACTGGTTATCTGTTAGTGTCTAGTGTAAGTTCTTGTTATTATTATTATTTGCTGCGTATACCTATTACCAAAGCGTAGTGTTCATTGTAAATTATATTTAATTCTTCACAGAGGAATGTTTTTACATTAAGTCCTGCCTATATAATTATATGACAAAACTATTTCTTGGTATATTTTGTTTCTAAGTACTAGCAAAATGTATATCATTCAATTGGACTATTGCAGTCTACTGCTACAGCGGCAGACGCCTATATGAGAAATCCCAATGTGCAAAACCAACATTTCAAATCAAATCAAAAGATCAAAAAGTGTGTTAAGAATCTTGCAGTCTTAATTATATTTGTTAATAATTTAGTTCTTAGTAATAAAAACGGGGAACGTATAAAATGAAAACCGTTTTCTTAAATATATTGAACTATTCAAATATATTGAACCATACTAAGTAACGAATTACTTACAATTACATTCAACAACCATCAATCAATGCAAATATAAATGTCCTTAAGCAAGTTTTTTCACTATGGGGTAAATGTTTTTCCCTAATTCTATGACATTTACAAAGTTTTACTGTCTAACAATGTCTAAAGATATACCCAAAATAGAAAAAAAAAAAGAAAACTGATAAAAACAATCAGCGCTACAAATATTTGGATAAAATAATACCCGCATGCCTTTAGGCCTTTCAATTGAAAATGGCAGACAGCATCTTTATTAAAACATACTGTATTATTATAAGATTTCCATTTCATATATAAAACTGAGAGCATTAAAACTTTTTGGCTTGTATAATTCGCTTGTGGTGTGAACAAGTACAATTAATTTGAATGGACTGATTTTGAATGTGTTTGACGTTGTACTGTGGCATAATATTAACATACCTATATAACAATGCTGTGATTATCTAAATCATTTTGTAGTTGACCAATTGCTGAGTATTTAGTGGTAAAAATATTGCATGTTATAATTTAATGTCTCAGGTCTGTAACTGCATAATGATTTTGAATATTTCACAGTTTAAATTTATATTGTGAGGTGACTTTGGTAAAAAAAATCCAATAGCTAATAATAATATTCTAACTTCAATGTTTCTACTGTTATAAGAAACAGTGGTTGAGTTAAAAAAACAAGATGGTGGAATTAATTGCCACTATACAAAATAGAAATTACAGTTCTCTTTAAATATACAAAATTTCTACATCAACAGCCTCTAATAGTCCACTGCTGGACATAGTAGGTTTATTATCGGTTTCTACTTATTAATACAAAAGAAAATATATTAAACAATTGAAGTTTTTATAGAATATTTTGATTACTAAAGTCATCTAGTGAAACTTGATTACTAAAGTCATCTAGTGAAACTAACGAGTGCGGCATGCGTGTGTAGCCCCCCCCTCCCCCCCGCGCACGCCGAACGGCGCCGCCCCCGCGCCGCCCGCGCCGCGCGCCGACAAGCCGCTGCCCGCGCCGCCCGCCGCCGGCACCACCACCCCCACCCCCACCCCCACCGACGACACCGCTCCTGCCAACGACACCGCTCAGACCAACAACAACACTCCCACCAACAACAATAATAACAAACTCGTCGCCGAAAAAGAAGACACGAAAAAGGAAGAAGCGAAAGAAGAAGAAATCAAAAAAGTAGAAACTAAAGAAGAGGAAACGAAGGAAGCGAAAGAGGGTAGCGACAAGAAAGTTGAAGAACTCTATGATATACCAGTCGGTATGTATCGCACTCTACTACTTAGACATGTGGTTCCACGGCTAGAGGGGGAAGCGTAGATGGTGCTAAATGAGAAACGTTGTCGTAGTTAGAGCATGGCTAATAATGTTGGCTATCATTTTTTTATTCAAAAAGTTACCATTAGTAAAAAAGACTTGTCTACTAGATAAAATTCTCAACATAAATCTAAAATAATGCTACTACAAACTCTTATTAACTAATTCATATGTCTTAACTGCTTAATTTTATTCTTTATAAAACTATCATTGAAGAGTAGACTATTCAATAAAAAATATACATAATTCACTTATGGCAATAAGACCCATAAGACACTGAAAAATATCCCAAATAAACACACTTTTTATATTAAAAGTGTTATGTTTAATTTCTTTCTTCTTAAATTCATATAAAAACGGTATTTAATCGACTGAAGTCTGTTTTGCCTCAAACTGAAACGACTTGAACATACCTACTCCTAAAACAAGTTCAACGAATACTAGTTAAATTCGAAGATTAATAAATACCATTAAAAACACAGGCCACACATGTTATATAGTAGGGTTATTTAACTAAGCACAGATAGAAAGCTAGTATGATGACAGTTGATTAGGCTATAAGCAGTAGACAAATACCTGCACAATTCTCTCAGGGTCACCGGTACCACCTGAGAAGTCAAATAATAGCGACGAAAAGAGACAACAAGTTGACTCTGAGCCGAGAGAGAAAGGGACGGATGACAAGCAGGATGAAGTCTACGATATACCTGTCGGTAAGTACACCACGACTATGAGGCTATGAATGATTAAATACATTCAGCATAATATTGGTGAAGGTGTAATAATAAAAAAAACTATATATTTTAAGTGTCTTTTTAATCAAAAAAAATTGGGGATCTTATTTTGATTCTACAAACTAAATAAAAAAAAATAGTTTCTGCGAAAGTCAATCGCATAATGTAAATTTTAGTTCTGCATTTTTATAATGCTTTAATTAATAGCTATTCTTCTATTCGGTTCGGAGTCAAATCTAACAAATCAAAGATTCTAAAAATAGGTCTAGCCGTTCTTGAGATATAAATGCTCTGTCTGTGTGTATTAAGATATTACCATACTTTTTTGTATTTGGGACTATTGTAATAGTGTAACAGTATTACGATGTTCATCGTCGGTGATCCATATGCTATAATATATACTTACTCATCTTTTATAAAGTAAGTAGCATAACATATATATATATATAAACTGTTGATGGATTAATTTGTCAATGTGCATTTGAACTTGATATTGTATTTGTATCATTTCAATGTTAAACATAATAATAATAAAAGAAACTAAATATCTGTGTGGTATAATAATGAATGTTTGTTGTTTATATTTAATAAAATACAATATTATTATGAACTTAAAATCTTAACTATATTATTTATTCTTTATAATATAAATCTTTAGTATATCATGTATAGGTCTGATTATTTATATACATTTTTATTATTTTTATTTATTGTATGTATTTTTGCAGTAACAGGCAAGTAATTTATGAATTATCAATTTTTATGTATGGCTTTTGGTTTGATTTTGGATGATTAGATTGAGCAATTTTTATGTGTTTATATTAACAAATAAATTTAATATAAGCGTCGCGTTTTAATAGTTATTATTATTTGATTTTAAATTTCTGGGAATGGAACAATATTTCTATTCTTGTTTTATATACTTCTGTTTCAACATCACTGTACGGTTTCTTCACTGGCCAAATAGCCATTATTTTCTAAGTTTTTAAAGGAATTACAAAGTATCAAACATGTTCACCATAGGTCTCTTCTATATCTAGGATTGTCTAGTAGTACTTTGTGATCTTGACTGATGAGCCATAGATAGTGGGTTCGATTCCCATCCAAGAATTTATAAGTAAATATAAGTATATTTATCAGCATTTTGGTTACCTTACTACAGATCTGCCTATTATAAAATTAGACAGCCTTGTGTGTCTCAATTTATGATAATTTTTGGGACATTTAGTTTTTTTTGTCTTTGACGAACGTAATTCGCCAAGTAAGTGTAGTATTGTCGAAATATGGTTGAACATAAGTGAAGCGAGAGTGGTGCAGTACCTCGTGAGGTTGACGAGTGTGTGCGCAGGGGCGACGCTGGCGGGGCTGCCGGCCGGCGCGCTGTACCGCGTGCGCGCCACGTACCGCTACACGCGCGAGGACTCCGACGAGCTCAGCTTCGACGTGGGCGAGATCATTCGCGTCGTCGAGTACGACGATCCCGACGAGCAGGTACGTCTGGTGACACCCGGCTGAGGTCATACACGTTACCCCTACTCGAGTTTATTATACTCGAGTAGGGGTAGCTCGTACTCGAGATTATTTAAAATTGGGTGTTAGCATCCAATAACCAAACTGGATCTCAATTCTTCTGTTTTAATATTGTATCAATAGACTGGAATGTCGTCGCAATAGTTTTGAACTTTTCATATTCTACTAACAATGTAACACCAATGGCATGGATGACTTGTCACTGAACTGCCATTATTGATACAAATGTCGTCTATGTAGTTGCAATAGATTGGTAAACGGTACATTGCAAATTTGTAAGGAAATGATATATTTAATTTTTAATATTTTGTTGATATCACCATTAATGAGCCATTGTCACTACATCGACAGTTTATTGACACTGTGAATTTATGTTAGTAGAATATCGATAATTTGACCGATGTCACTGACATCTCAATGGCATCTTAATTGTCAGTAGAATGACTGGCTTGTACGTTAACATAAAATAGTAGAATTGAGGCCCTGATTGTTCACGTTCATGATATATTTCTTATTATATTTTCCATTAATATTAGTTATGATTAGTGATTAGCCAGCGGTACTAAAAAGCAAATAACTGAACTGTGTCTTGTAGGAGGAAGGCTGGCTGATGGGTATAAAAGAAACGACCAATGAAAAGGGCATGTTCCCCGCGAACTTCACGCGGCCAATATGAAGCGTAGCCGCTACGACCACCGCCAATAACCGCCGCTCTACGCCGGCTACACCGTAGCACATCGCCTACGACCACTCCGACCACTACACTCACTGAGTGCTACGACTGTACAGTGGCGGTACATCAATAAGAACTGTCTTATGATTTTATTCAATTATCACATTGCGTTTCATTTTAGTTAACGAATATTAAAAATACAATGTTTATTACTTAGTTTAGTTGTTGAATGTTATTAGATTATATATTATTTATTATTTGTGTTGTATTACAACGAATTATTATAACAGCTAACGTTTTGTATATACGATGTATGAATACTGTTTATATGTGTCACAGTCGGCTCGGTGTAGGGTGATGATTAATAATGTATTTTATTCACGAATTCCATGCCATTTACATACGAAAAGTACGACCATATCAAAACAAATATTGTATCACATGTGTGTTCGCCCTAATCGAAGTGTCTCGAAAACCATGTGTATTAAAGTCCTTATTTAAAAAAAACTGACAATAATCGTATGATTATTACGTTGTATAAAAAAAAATTACTTTTACAAATCAAAATTGCTCACGTAATAATATTTTTACATTTAAAGTGACCTTAAAAAAATATTAAATAATTAAATCTTATAATTAATAATTCGAGATTATATTTCAACAACTTTTTTCAATGTTTATTCAGTATTAGTCCACGGACTTGACAAAAAAAAATGCAATTGTTCTTTCATTTATGATAATAACTACCTATTTATTTAAGAGTTTTAAAATTAACGCTTTATTTGTCTAAACGCCGAAGAAAAAATATTAACAAATTTTGACAATTTAGGATATTGAACCTTATGACTACGGCAATAAATTCTAGCTTCTAGTATCACTTCGCAGTGTCATATTGTTAAACATTTCCATCGACGCATTTCATTATAATTTGATTGCATTTTCAAAGCGAAGTTACACAATCATTTGTAACAAGTTAAGTTTTTTAATGTATATAAAATCATTTTGAATTTTTCTTTTGTTGAATCCACGTCATATTGTTAATACATATAACATAGGAAATATCTAATATTTAGCTTTTTCAAATCAACATCTATTTAAGTAGGTTTACAATTTTTTTGGTAAATTTAATTGTATTAGAACCGGATTACTAACTTTATAGTAAGATTATAATTTAAATTGGCAACATTGTTGACTGAAAACTTTTAGAAATCAAGATTGTTTGAACATAATTTGTATTGTTAAATATTTTTCTATTTCAATCTAAATGTCTTCAGTTAATAAAGTATTTTAAATCTGAACCGGACTCAGTGCCCAGAACAAACATTGATATTAAAGCCTGTGTCAAATAAGGTGCTTCGAAACTGTACATAATTTATATATTTACAATATAATCCCATATTTTTAGATTAAGACGGTTTGAAATGTGTTCCATTTTTAAAATGAACTTCCCACAATGTTTTCTGTTGCCAGCGTTATAAATAAAAATAATTAGGCAACACTGACGATTAAAACATTTATTATTTAAACTTTTCTTAGTGATTTGCGATATTTGCTCCTTTCGTGTGAAATATTATGAATAAATATTGTTTTTATTTAACAATTTATAAATGACGGGCCACTTTTACATGCTGCGGGCGTTTTTAATGGTTGCTCAAAAGTAGCTCCGCCCTAAATCATTAGAACTATTGACTTTTATAAACAATTTTGATCTTATCAAATTTTAATATCAATTTTAATAAACGACTGAAGTTTTGTAGAGGAGTGTTGTAACGTTGCGATGTTTTGTAGGAGTACAATCCGACATGTTGAAAGTTGTGGCTTTATCGTCAGTGCCATGCAAAGTCCATATGTAATGTTAATTTATAAGTTTGTTAGGACTTGTACAGTTTTTACAAGCGGAAATAAAATATTTCGAAAATTTTGTGCCTTTTATTTTTACCTAGTTTATAACCAAAAACTTTTTTCTAAGGAGAGGCCTATGTCCAGCTGTGGACTATTAAACTCTGGTATGCCACTACACTGTACAGAGCTTACCGGTGAAAGCACTACGGTTTAGTGACATGTCAAGAGTCAAAGGCTGTTGATGATGATTAGAGATAGATAGAGATGGTATTTAAACTACACAATATGTGTCTACTATATGTCTATGTACGACTGGCCTGTTGGTCTTGTGATTACTGACTGCTAAGCCAGAGGTCGTGGGTTCGATTCCCAACACCCATAATAAATATCGTGTGATGAGCACGATCATATGTGTTTAGAAGTATGTTTGGGATCAGACGGATGTGTATGAGATTAGAAGGCCTCGTGTGTTTGTTTAAATTCAATTCAATTCTCACGGTGAGTGCGTTCGGCGTTGCGATTCGTGAAGAATTCAGTACGATCCAATCGCAATTAAGTTGATGTGAAATAAACACATTCTATGCGATCAGAGCATTATTTTACTAAAGATATTCTACTGTCTTGAATCCGTGTGAATAGCCGTGGAAGCCAATTAGTTTCAACCTGAGGCCAACTCTCTGTAAAGAAGTGACGCAACCTGCGGGGTGCATGGAAATTTTAAATATCAACCTTTTAAATGAAAACAATTTTATCAAAGTCTATTCTGAAGTCATTGTTTGTCTGCAGAATACTTATTTTCATAAATGCATTTATGAAAAAAAAAACTTGTTGGTGATTGTTCCCCAATTTGAAGTGATAGTTGCAGGGCTAATGATAAATTTCATAAAACCTGGAAATGGCTAGGTAGTGTGTTAAGTAGCACAGAACGTGAAGCATGCCACGCACAGAAATGCCAAGAAGCTTTATCTCATGAGTAGATACTCTTTGAACAAGTAAACAACAAAGTACCATTCACTGATAGAAAAGACAAACAGTAAAAATACAAAATACACGTAAGGAAGAAACTGTAGCTCCTCATGAGGGAGTAGTCTTTAATTTTTTTAATTATCTAATTTCAGAAGAAGGAAAATGCTGATCTAAGGAGTAACAGTGCTACTTATTAAGTAGTAGTAGTAAAGGTGATGAACGAATCGAAATTAACTAGTTTCATAATTAGGTAAAGCGAATGCCTAATTGCCTAGCTTGTAGAAGAAAATGAAATTGATAAATGTCAGGGCACTTTAATGTACTATATTAATTTAATTAAACTTGTGGAGGGCCTGTGTTGCTCTATATCAATAAGTTTAAGCTGAGTGTTGACACCAGTTCCAACTCACGACTGCTCACTAAAGCTCGAATGAAATAGCACTCGTACAACGATAGAAAAAAAAGCGCAAACGAAATCGCATCTCCGTATATCTTCAAAATGGTGAAATTTTTAATGTCTATTGATAAATATTTCAATGTTATGAAAAAAAAATTAAGCAGACCGGTTGGATGGAATAGCCGTAATAGATTTTATTTTAAAGATATTGATTTTCCATTAATATTAAATAAATAATACTTACCTGGTTTCTGAACGCACCCCAGCTGTCATCTGCGATACATTCTACGCAAGGGTTGTTGACATTTTTAAAGTCAAAGACATGGGTACCAAACGATAGAGTGTAAAAAGGAGCGTAATGTATAAGATTGATTGATGAATTGAATAGAAGTAGGCGATATTGTTTAAGTTCCAAAACATGTTATTTTGCTTGAAATGTGTGTTTTACAAAAGTAAATATGTGTTACAAGACAGTTCTAATAATCCGATAGTCACTTAAAAATGTATGACGAGTACGTACCTATATGTTGTGAAACGCCTTACCTTTGTGTAATAGCAATGTTTTTGTGTTGTTTTTGATGCTATTCGATATTCTACAGGTATTGATTGTGATTTTAATCGAGGAAAATAGCAAGGTAGGTGGCAATTATATGTACCTAACGATTTCAAAACGATGAACATTATGTAAATGTGTGTAAATGTTTATTTTTATTTTAAAACTTGTTTTTTAAGCTAACTTTTTGTTCGTTAGGTAGTCCAAATAGGTAATAATAATGATAACTCATATAAATGAGCTATAGCGATTGTTTGATTCTAACGAGTTGAATGAATTCATTATACATTTTTGGTTGTGTTGTATAATTACTATAAGATATACGAAGATATAGAAGATATACTAGTCAGAGTGATGTGCTGGACATGGGAAATAGAAAAAAAGGATCTGTATCTGTGTCCAAATCCGATCTATTTTGGCGGGTTTTAAATGGACCTTGCAAATTGTTGTATTTAATAGAGTTTATGAAATTCTCAATTTATTTAACTATAAGTAAATATTTTATGCAGTCAGCTACTGATATTTTCAATAAGAGATAATTTTTGACAATCTTTATTACCACATCAAATGCCTAAACTTTTTAATAAGTGTATTAAAAATATAATGAAAAAAAAAGTTACACGTATTGGCAGTAACTCAAAAAACTTGATCATTATCCATGGTTATCCATCCATGGGACCAAACGGGAAGTGTAGAGTGGTACCCTACACTTCCCATCTGGGCCAATTCAAATAACCGTTTCTCAAATCCAAATCTGTTTATAAATGTATGCATTGAGAGTTTGGGGTGAACGTAATCGCTTAACATTTGCACCCAATAAAACTTACCAGAAGCTGGTATTAAAAAGTAACCGCAAATTACGCAGAGCATTAAATTTGACAACATCACTGTAAAAAATAAAACCTCAGCGTGTTATTTAGGATTAGTATTTACGACGGTTAGCACTGAGGCTTATGCGGTGTTGGGGGGTGTGCTTCCGGTCGATCTCGAGGTGCAAAGACGTGCAGCCATGTACTATTCAACACAAAACATGGAATGTGTTTTTTTTGCGCACGGGATCGCGATAAAATCACAAGATTGCTTCAACAGCAGTCCGATGTCTATAATGACCTCATAGACGAAGGGCAACAACGCTGGGACGAATCATCTAAGGGGCGTCACCTTTAACAGTTCTTTCCATCTGTTCCATCTGTCTGTCATAGCTTGAGGTAGATCACTGTGTCGCTCAATTTCTTACGGGCCATG